GATGTTCCATTGCTTCGAAATTGGTCTCATTTGAAATTTGATCAAAAATGGACATGGCAATTTCCAAATGAATCAAAACACGAAATTGCACAATATTATTTTAATAATTATACTGAACATTGGGAACGTCGACCAGAAATGAAAAAAGCATTAGGATCTATTCCAAGTTTAATGATGTGGGATGATCATGATATATTCGATGGTGCTGGATCATATCCACCATTACTTCATGATAGTCCAATTATGATGGGAATATTTGAAATAGCACAACAAATGCGACTTCTTTTTCAACATCATACTACACCAGAGAAAGCTCGAAAACATCAATTATTCGGCTATCGTAGCTATAATTTTCTTGCTCGATGTGGCCCAAATTTAGCTATTTTAGGTGCTGATGGACGTAGTGAACGTGATCATCAAACAGTGACACATGCCAAGACATGGGATATAATCTTTGAAAAATTAGACCATAATCTACAAAATGTTCAACATTTAATCGTTCTATTTCCCGTTCCATTTTCATTTGCACGGTTTAAAATAGTTGAAAATTTGCTTGAAACATGGAAAAAATTGGCATTAAAATGGCGAAATATTCCATTTAGTGAAAAAACTAGTTCAGTTTTTGGTTTGCCCGAACCCTATGATGATCTTCTTGATGAATGGACGCATAAAGTACATTTAGGTGAACGAAACCGCATTCTTTGTCGTTTTCAAGATATTGCCCATAAGAAGAGAACAAGAATAACATTTTTCAGTGGTGATGTTCATTGTTGTGGTGTTAGTCGATTTCAAACTCAAGGAGATAATATTCCATCACCTCTTCATGATTCTAAATTAATGTATCAAATAATTTCATCTGCTATTGTTAATAGACCGCCACCAAAAATAGTTACTCGTGTTATTCATTTTTTTGGTACAAAATGGTATCCAGTTGCTGATACCGAAGAAGAATTGATAGATTTTTTCGAGCGAGATCCAGAATTTCGAGCTAGATTATTTCTTAAAAAATTACTTTCAAATCGAAATTGGTGTTATTTTGAACAACGTGCAGTCACAAATTCGACTTTAGCTACTCGTGTTACTCAAACTGGATTTGTCGAAAATTTCTTTTGGCCATTTATAGATTCTCTTCTATTATTGATTGGTTTATGTTTAGGATTCAGTTTGCTGTATAAAAAAAGTGAATCAGCAGTAACAGATCAAAGTTATAATAAACCATTGACAGCATCGGATCAGGATAATCAAATTGAACAAGAAGCAAATAGCATAAAAGTTCAATTTTGGTTGGAAAATATGAATCTCAAGAAAGGCAGACCACATTTTACAAATTATGATCTATTTATTCCTGATTTGAAATGAATCTGTAAAATGACTTTTATTAAATTCAAAAGACTTCATCGAAATTTGAGCATTGGAAGACATAAATTTTCCATTTTTGTTTATTTATGAGATGCTACTAAAACCTAGCAAGATCTATCTATCACAAACTTCATGTGAGACAAAAAAACCATTGTGTAAAATATGATATAGTACATGATATTTATTTATTCTGAATTTTAGAAATAGAATTTATTCCAACTTATTTTCTTGAAATAAATTTTGCTGAAAATAAAATTAAAATCATTGATTGCTAATACTCGATTGAAGACATTGGGTTCGTCTTGCCAATCCTTTGATAAGATGAATTGTGCTTTTTTGATGGACACAGACGTGGACATTCCATCATATTGTGTCTATGAGTACATCAATTTCGACCAAAGTATCTTTACTTAAGTAGATTCAATTCAGTATAATATAACACTAATCATAGAAATGATGCGACAACTATTCAAAGAAAGGATGTCGAATATAAACCTTAAGAGATTTACGAAAAGACTCTACTTGTCTTGAGTCCTTGCTCAGTGAACATGATTTATTTTCTGTCAGAAAAACAAAAAAACGAATTATTTTAATAGAAATATTAGCTTCTCGTACTCAAAAAATAAGATTGATGAAAAACAATATTTACGATGAAAAGTAACCGAAAAGAACCTGTATGCCCTAATCTCCTATGAAAAAACTTTTTACTTTAAAAATTGACAAATGGTATATCAATAGATACAATTTTCACGCTGATTTTAAATACGTCTTCATTTTCCTTCAATGTGCTTCTATGGAAAAGAAACAGCACAAACATTTTAAAAATCAAGGTTTTTAGAAAATCTGCATTTCAGTCTAGAAACATCTATACTAACTGAGTATATATCCTAGATATAGAAGAAGATTCTCTGAAAGTTTCGTCGATATCGGATTAGTAGAGAACAAGTGGGCGGCCAACTTTACTGAAGATATTTTTTGGAGAACACTTAGCGTAAAAAAAATAATAATTTTTTCGGAACGAAAGCTTTGTTTATAAATTGATAGCGTAGAAGTCCTAGTTTCAGACTATATATGATTTATTGTTTAACTCTTTATTCTTCAAAAGAAAATAATGTTGTTTGTCTAATGGTCCTGATATTGGCCCTTTTTTGTGACTAAGTGTTTTAAATAAATTTAGTAGTTGGGACAAATGTTTTTTTTTACTAAAATACTGATCGCTAATCAAAGTGTATAAATTCCTATGCTACGATATTGTTATTTGGGACAAATCGATCAAATATTTTCAGCGGTTTTAGTTTGACGAAAATCTTGTTCGGTTTGATTCCTGTCACGTTTCGTTTTTACCCATGGAATGACAAAGAATTCGATGCCTTGAAATATTTCTCACTTGCACTAACCATTTTCATGACCGAAATTTCTCTTGAATATTGATCAATTAAATGTTGTCATGAAATATGAATTTCCTATCGATGAAATAGATTTTTACTTTGAAGAGAAGATCGACTGGGTTCAATTATTCATAGACACGAGAGGAACATTTAGTGACATATAACATTCTTTGCCGTAGATCGATGAAAACTCGTCATTATACAATCAATTGGTAAATCAATTAATAGTTTTACAATATTACAGATTTATACTTTTGAACAGCATTAAATATGAAGAATAATGTTCAAGTGATTTCAGATGAATATCTTCATTGCAAGACATTAATTAGAATCTTTGTTCAGAAAATGAAATTTGTGATAGGAAACTCAACCAATCAAATGCATTTCATGAACTGAGTTGCAAGAAACGTGAGTTAAATTAATATACTGACAATTATGCATATTGATATCGAAATAAATAGTATACGTAAACCGAATTTTTTTTCAATATATTCCATTTTATAAGGATTGATGATTCACTGTCAGCAAGCCTACTTTCAACCTTTTTTTTATCAAAAAACAAATATTGTCTAGAACAACACATGATATTGTCTTTTCTAATTCCATGAAAGCTTTGTTCTATCTATTTTCTTTTGCTTCCGTCAAACCTAATTAGCAATCGTAACTGATGCTTAATTTACGGTTGGTTCTTGTTCTTTTTTCTTCATTCATGAAGAAAAAGAAAATTACTTGCGTCATTTCCTTGTCAATTCCAGACTGAACAAAACCCATTTACGATCCAGTTATTTTTCTATATCTTATTCACTACATAAGCAAATAGTGCTGCTATTGAGCTATTCTCTCTCCAGAAAGTTTATTACAAAAGAAAAGAAGTATAAGTAACACACTCTAGTCATTTTGATATTGAACATATAATAAGCAACCAGATGGAAAGCCGAGTGCCTCAAATTTTTTCTCTAAATGACTAAGGAAAAACCAATATAACTGCGACTCATTTCCATTTTCTTCGGTAATAAAAATATGCTTCTTTTTCTAATTATTATTCTGTAAGACAACAGTGCGAGAGCCTTCTTTAAAAAAAAAACATTTCAAACGACGTAGTTGTTTTTCACTCATTTTTAATTCTTTAATTGTAGTATATCACACGTTTAGAGTTTTCACTAAAATATTTATCGTACTTATGAAATTCAAATATTTCTTTTTCACATTGACGTATTAAATTACAAGAGACGCTGCATACAATTGGTATTACACCTACATTTATCGCATTGAGTCCCTATCATTAACATTACTGTCCTCATCTTTTTATTGTTTTTTATGCACTCTACGGCTCATGCGTCTGCTAGGATATCAATAAGGGAACACATTCTATTTTGTAGTGAAAGGTATAGATGAGTGTTCGAAACAGTCAAAATTGGTTACATCAGTGCGAACGTAATTGAAATAGAGTGTTTAAATCATTCTGTAGTATAACAATTATAATTTGTCTTTTTCTCTACTGACGTTGACTTGTATCATTCTGATTTGAGAGACTCGGTGAATCTTTGAAGTTTGAATCAATACAAGGTTTCAAACAATAGACCTGAAATCGAAATGATTGTTAAGTTATCATGCGATGATTAGTGTTCGGTAGATTTTAGTTCAATCTATCTTTTTCTCTTACATGATTATATTTTCAAAAGTTTTACTGAATTGTTGTTGTCGCAAGTGATCATAGGGTCTTGCCTCAGAGATTTTATTAAATGTAGTATTTTTCTCTTTAATATTGGCATCTAACTTTTTCGATGTTCTATAATCAGTTATTTCTATTTTTAATATAATATATTAAGACAAACATTCGTTTTTCGCTACATTAATAGAGAAAATACTAGATATATTGCAGTTGATATGGGTCACTGGTCGGTAGTGTTCTTCTTAATTTTCGTCGTGATAATTAGTAAAAATGGAATGGGTGTCAACGGATCGAATTATGATACTACTTGCATTTGTACAAATGTAACAACGAATGTTTGCATGATGTACACGTGCAGTACGTCAGAACACCGAGGAAAATGCTTTGCTGGTTCAAGTCAAGTTGTTCTTGCCGATGGTAGCTACAAATTGTTATCGGATGTCACAATTGGAGACAAAGTTCTCGTCAACAAAGACAATATTTATGAGCCGATCATTGATTTTATTCATGTCAAGCGCGACGGTCTCTTCGACTTTCTTGCAATGGAGATACAGTCACTAATATCGAATATTACTCATAGAATGCTTGTTTCTGCCAATCATTTGATCTTCGATTTTGATTGGGACGGTGCTCGTTTCGCAGGTAAATTTCGTATAGGTGATCGAGTCCAGTTGATTGAAAATAATCAAGTGGTTCCTGGTGAAATCATCCGAATTCAACTAACAAAACAAAAAGGATTTTATGCTCCACTCACTCCATCAGGTACCATTGTAATCAACGGAGTGCTTGCTTCGAACTATGCTACAGTAAGCAATCATCCATTAGTCCATCAAGTAATGAGCATTTACCGATGGTGGATTTGGCTTTTTGGTGCATCAAAATCGAGCGAATCTATTCCTTCGTTATTGGAAGCGATTTGGAACATTGAAAAGATCATTCGCTGGTGTGATGGACACATACTCATCAACAATCACTTATATGATGGTGAATTTGAAGTATCAGGAATCGATTGACAACACTAATAACTAAATCTTAGCATATCTAACACTTTACAGATGCATGTTTGAAATTGTATTTCGTTTAATTTGAAAACATATTTAATTATTTAATAAACGTGCAATTTTGTCAATTATTCAAATATATCGAATGAGATTTTATATTCTTCTAGCATGTCCATTAGCCAAAGATTTAACAGCTCAGAAAAGTCCATAAATCTTCAATTGATTAAAGATTAATTGTACGAAAGACTATTATCGTTTCTATAAAGTGCATATTTTTTATAGAATGTTTTGAATCATAGTTAATTATTAAAGGACAAAAGTGCAAAAGATGTCTAAACAGTTCACTAAAATTTTTTATCAAATGAAATCAAAAGTATACACCGATACTTCAAGACTAACTTTATTTGTTTCATAATGAATTTAACAGCCTTGTGATGATCGATTTATGTGATCGGTTGCGTACGCATTCGTCCTCGACACTTAGATAGTGCTTTCCTGTGACACAATACGAACTTTATGACGTGTTGTTCTAGACAACATTGAGTCGCTAGAAATTCTTAATCTTTCATTAGTTTTGTAAAACGATGATTTTGACAATCTGGTCTCCACGTTTTACCCAAGATAATTTAAAGTGGTGAACTAATTATTATTCTTATGTCAATCGAAAACTTATTATCGAAGATTGAGATCGCTTCGTACTGCATTTATGTAGTATTTTGAGAATTTTCTTTGTCTTGTCTTTACTTACTATACATATGCACTGAATGTTACCATTTTCTGTAACGATGATCTCAAAAACAGATAATCAGAAAATATGCAGATAAACAATCTTGTATTGTCCTATTCATGCATTGAAGAAAATGACAGTTGTTTGAACAATATAAACTTGTAAAGAATCCTTTTCTATACGAAACTCTTATAATTGAAATCAAAACTGATTGTATCTCTTGAGCTCTTTGCTTTTGTTGCGCTATCAATAACAGGAGTAAAAAAAGCTTATTGCAATACAAATAACAGAGCAGAATAATTAAAATCATATGATGCAGGTGATGTCAAAGTAATACAAACAATTCATTTAGTTTCATTGCTTTGAATATAACCGAATTCATGAAATGCAAAGAAAGCCAAATAACGAAACTAATAGAATGATATTGATGTCTATGACATGATTAAAAACATAAAACTACTGGTATTATCATTTCGAAAATAACCATATAAATGAAATTTTTTTATTATTAAGATCGCTGGGAAATTTTAATTTTTAACTTATATTATATCGTTTTCGTTTTCAAAGAAAATTTGCACGTGTTATACTTCTAATTTACTTTTAAATTTGATAATTTACTTCCTGATAAATACTCGAATTATAGACAGCAGTATGAAAGAAAAACATTGACTACATTGTATTTTATTCATGATAATATTCAATGGATCATTATCGATAACTATTTGATCTATGATGACAAACGCATAGATATTTACTCTTCTATTAAAATATGCATCTAATGGTTATAACAATGTGAAGGTAAATATAATACTTTTGAATTGAATAAAATCATAAAGAAGTGTTTAATCATGAACTCAAAGAATTATCTACACGATTATATTGCGACATAGAGATCATGACTCATACAATAAAAACCAAATGAAAAATGCCGGATTGAGTTAAAAGAATATATTATGCATATTCAATGACTAATACATTATTTGTTATTTAATCAGCAACTTACAACATCAGAAAAATGAATACTATTAAATCTTTTCAATATTGTTGCATCATCGTTTAAAAGTCATCCAATCAAAGTTATAGCAGAAAATAAAAGCCTATGGAAATTATCTTTATTATTTGTAAATGAAGACAACCGGAATAAATTATTGTTTGAAATGCATTGCGATAAAATTTAACAACTTTTTTTTTTTTGAATCTTATCCATATAGATTATAAAATAGTGTAAAAAGAATATTACTCAACTTATTCTTTTAGACATTGAAACTAATAATGATCATTATGAAGAGAAACTTTATATAAAAGACAATTACTCAAGTATAAGAAGATCATTGGAAGGATGACATGGACGATAAAAATAAACAAGTAAATGATTCGAAAGAAGAAGAATTTTTGAGCAAGAAGTAGACGACAAAAACAATTAAAATATTGATTGAATAATCATATGAGAAAATTCTTTTTTTTTTTTTCAATGTAAAATTGTTTACTTCACAAAACAAAATAAAAGCGATAAAGAAAAAAAAAATCTATCTATTCATTTCAAAGCTCCCTGAATGCAACAGAAAAAATTTAAACAAAAAAAAAAAAAAGGAAAACCTTCTGTTCAAATAAAAGATTCATGATGTCATTTGTACTACCAACATTATAATATTTCATCTGAGTACACTCATTGATGTACTAGCACGTTGACTACTTGTTGATGTATGTGGTTGATGTTGAATTTGATGAACAAGTTGTTGTACAACACCATTTGTTGCTTCTCCACGTCCTACAACAGTACCCATTTTATCTGTTGACATTTGTTGAGCAGCAAGAGCAGCAGCTGCTTGTTGTTGCTGTTGTTGCTGTTGCATCTGAGTTTTAAGATCATATCGATGACGTGCAAAACCACCAGCTATATGACCTTATAATATCATATTATATACATTAACTATACTAACATATTTATAAGAATTATTTACCTTGAGATGCACTTGGTTGTAATGAAAATTGTTCAGGACCACTGATACTATGACCAGTTGTTTGATAAACAGCATCCATACCAGGAGCATACGTTGCATCCATCTATATTTAATTAACTTGACAAAAGAAAGAAAATGTTTATATAGAACAACTTACTTCTTTATTGTATTGAGTTTGATCTTCAACATAACTTTGATAATCATCATAATTGCCAGCTCGTGCTGTTGGTGAACCAACAAATGATTTTGATGATCGCAAAGTTTTTGTCTATGATTACAAGAAATAGTTTTTTTTTTTTTTTTTTATATCAACTTGTCTTATATTACTAGATAAGTTGCAATAATTGCTCCTAATGCAAATCCAAATGCTACATCTTCCCAATGATTTTTATTACTTGCAAGTCGAACACCACCAGCTACAACCGATAATGTAATTATTGATAAAATAAGAAATGGTTTAACAATTCGAACACGTTCAATACGTATTTCACGATGAATATAAATCTAGTTATGATATACAAAAGTTTGATACAAAATAGAACAACAATAACATTTTTCTCATAACATACAGCAAGAAATGCAGCACTATACATTGATAAAGAAGCATGTAATGATGGAAAAGAAAGTCTAAATAAATGACAATAATAGTTTTTAATGTAGGCTGCTTTTTTTTTTTACAATACCGAGCTTCTCTTAATAATCCAGTCATATTCTTAGAAAGACATACAAATTCAGCATCGGTTAAACCTTAATAAAATATTCAACATATTCTAGAAATTGATTTTTATTAATGAAAACATACCCATTCCATTACATGATTTTTGATCTGGATTACATAAAGTTAAAAAGTAAGGTCTTAAACGACCTGACATTATTTTTAAAATATCTGTAAGAACAGTTGTTGCCAATGCACCAAAGATAAACACAGCTGTAAATAATTTTTTACTTTCAAAAACAAATCAAAAAAAAAAACTTATATAAACATACATGTATACTTAAGAATACGAGCCAATGATCGAATAAGACAATCTTTAAATCGAATAGCAAAACGTGATCGATAAGAATTATACGATATGAACGAACGAATAAGTTCAATTAATGAGACCTATAAAAATAGATAATATAGAAAATATTTTCTAAAAATTATTTTAACTTCTTACGACAATAATTGGAACGAATAAACATATGGCATAAAGAGTAGTATTGGAAAGTATAATATAATTTCGTTCTGAATTAGCATCTTCATAAGATTGATAATAACGAGCATCATCACATAAAAAACGTTGTTGTCTAACAGGAAATATATCCGATGCTCTAAGAATTAACTTTATTTATTTCTTAATCATTTTTTTATTGATACTGACCGAAGAAGAAATGCTATAACAACAGCAAATACAAGTACGATACTATCAAGTACAGCTGTAGCCAAGGCATATCGACCACCATTTCGAACATATTCACCTGTTGCGTCAGTATAAGGCCCACTTCTATAATAATTAATTAATTAATTAATTAAGAAAAACAAAAGTATATTCGTTTATCAATAAATATACATGCGAGATCGTGTATCCATTATTCTTCAACTGATTATAATCATTTCTTACTAAGAAAAAAAAAAAAACTATACATATAACTAGAATCAATGACAAGAAATCATCTAGCTTACTTCTCAATTTTTTTCTCTTTGTCGTGTTATTCAAATATACAATGAGAGAATGATGATGGCCGTGAAATATTCACATGTATGCAAACATTCGATCAATACGATTTTCTTCAGCACGCACACACACAAACGGCTAGAATTTAGTATTTATGATAAAATGATGATAGAAAGAGATAAAGAGAAACAATGAGACGAACGAGATTGTTTAACATCATCGGTCCGAAAGATGAAGTAAAAGTTAAGACATTAACAAATACTAGCCATCCGATAAGAAAAAAAAAAAGAGAAGAGAAACATTCTTTCATTTCCTTGTCTCTCAAAAAACTCATTGAACACGATAAGAAGAATTTCGTTTATTATTGTTATGCAACAATTAAAAAAAGGTAAAGATGATCAACAATGCTCATCCATTATTTTATTATAAATCAAGGTGGACATGCATACACTGAAGAATATGATATTTAAAAAAAAAAAACTTTCCCTTTTTTTTTTTTTATTCAATCAATTGACTTTGAAAGACAAAAGCAGGCTTTATCCATTGATGACAATTGCATCGTAAGCCTTTAAGTGAATATTCACCTAGACTAATTTTACAATTCGGACAACATATTGTACCAATGGGATTCACAAAGATTTCATCAATCCAATCAAGAAAAAAAGTAAAAGTTCGACTATCATCATTACATATAATGGTTGACTCTTTTTCATGTCTTTGTATATCATTAGTAGTAAATAATTTGAAATGACAAGCTCGACATTTGTATTCACGTTCATTTTCATCATCCAACAATACAATAGATGATGTATTGTTATCCATTGTTGGTTTTGATTCAATTTTATTAAATCGTTTGCTTTGATATTCTTTATAAAGTTCATTTTCAATATCAACTTTATAATTCATCTGATAATATAAATCAAGTTGTCGTAGAAATCCATCATTTGGCATAACAGGCGAATAACGTCGTTTAGTCATTAGTTTTTCAAGTGCTTGTTCACGTGTTAAAGAATATTTACGCATTAAATACATAGCAGCTATTGTTGCTGAACGTGATATACCTTTTTGACAATGAATTAATACTTGATGACCTTGTTCTATAGCTTTATCAATAAATTGAAAACATTTTTCAAATTCATGTGTTAATAAATCTGTTGATTGAAAATCATCAGCAAGGATATGTAAATGAGTTCGATTTTTATCAATATGAGTTACTTCATAATCAAGAATTGTTAAAATATGAAAAATTTGATGATCATTCAGAGCTTGAACATTTTCAGATGCAGTTATATCACCTAACCAAAGGCCACTATCATCAATTTTATCTGCTGTAAACATCATCTATATTTGTCAGAAAAATAAAGAATATTTATATAAAAGAAAATATCACATGTATTTTATTGAGTTATAATATTTAAAATATTATTAAGCAAAGAAAAGTGGAACCAATATATCATCAATGGAAATAAAGAAAAAACTTTAAAAAAAATAGAAATAATGATATATTCTTCGATTGATTATCATAATAATAAAAAGAAAAGTGGAAAATCATTATGTATAGTCTTCTAACTAAAATAAACGACATACTTCATTTTTTCGATCACTTCTCTTTACCTTTGTCGTTTGATATTATATTCATCACTAGATATATATTTTTGATTATGTAACTTGATGTAAATTCTATGGAATGAGAATTTGTTGAGAAATACACAAATGTCGTATTCTTATGTTACTATGAAATATTTTACTGTTTTTAAAACATCAGTTTGCCGATGCAGCAATTAGGTTTTCGCATTGAGCCATATTCGCGAATGCTTGTTGGCCACGCTAATGTAAAAAAGAAGTGGCCATATTAGTTTATATATTCTTAAAGACGGTATCTTTTCTTTTATCTATCTTTTCTATCGTCTCCATAACAATGTTAGAGCGACGATAGAGAAAGATAGATAAAAGAGAAGATACCGTCGTTATGAATATATAAACTAATACGGCCACTTGTTCTTTATATAAGCGTGGCCAACAAGCATTCGCGAATATGGCTCTTTCATTTACAATGTTACACTCATTTTTTTACGTAGAGTGTTCTATCAAACACTCATAGAAAACGATAGAAGTTGATGTAATTTAAAAAACAACGTAATAAAAACAGAATTCAAGAAATTGTGGCTTTACTGCTACATAGATATATGAGATAGATTTGCATTTTTCTCAACGAATTCTCATTCTGTTGAAATGAAACTGTTATTGGTGTATTCAAGAATAAATCATGTGTATCTATATCATAAATATAAGATCAAACGACAAAATTAGAGAGAAAAAGTCGAAAATAACAATGTGTATCGTTTATTGTTGTTTGAAGAATATCAACATCTGTACTATCTAAGTGATTGATAGTAAAAAGAAAACAAAGTTTGTTCATGCTCTTAAATAATATATACCGATTGATTTAGTTAAGATCTTAAATAAACGTTGAAAGACATAATAAAATCGTTCATTGAATTCCTTTTGCTGCTAATTCTTGTAGAACTCTAAATAATAACCAAAAAAAAAAAGGAACAGACTCATTGAATAAAATTTTTCAAATAATTCATTTACCGATTAAAATATGTATCGTCTGGGTAACCGAAGCTAAAAAAGAAGATAATATCATTATTATAATAAAAAAAAAGATATTAACACAACAAATATTTTTTTTTGTTTTCCTCAAATACGCGTGAAATTTCGTTGAAAGTAACTTTCTAGCACATGTTAACAGTCGAAAAGGTAACATTTGTTTTCATCAAATTGTTAAAAGTTTATCGATTCTTACATGGGTAATAATAAAATATGTTATAAAAGCGCGTAATCAACAGATTTTGATATTTTGATTAATCTAGACCAGCAATACACTTTATATTTTGTAAATATGAGTTTATGAAAATGAATTTCGTGCCAAGTATGTTAACAAATATACGACATGGAAGATCAAAAGTATTTCACGCGTAAAAACAAGTAGTATATTTAGCGATGAAAAATGATATGAATTCCGTTAAGATTGAAAACATTCAACTCTTAGGATATTTTTGGAGACGTTCAAACAAATGATTTATATAAGCATGAAGAACGAAATATCCTTCCTTTAAGTCAACTCACGCATTTTAACGATTCAAAGGAATTTAACGAAATTCAATGATACTTTTCATATCAAACCCTGTTAAAACGCTGGTTAAAGCAAACGCCGTTAAATCTGCTTTTTTTTGCAAGAAGATTAACAGTACAACATGTAACGATTAGTTATCGATTCCTTTTAATACGAAGGACATATGCCAAATTACGAATCAAGTTTTTCAAAGAACCTGAACCTGATTCTAACAATCTGAGAATCAGCATCGAACCCTGATTATGTTTCATATATGAGTAATGACTTGCTCAGTGTTATGAAATTACAGTTTTTATGTGTGTATAATCGAGATTTTTATATCAAAGATGTAATTCAATGTGCTCTTTCTATTGACATCATTTTCAACTTGAAACTCAATATTTAGTAAAGCACTTTTGCTCTGACCACTTTGCTTGAGAACGAATTAGTATCTTTTTTTTGACTCATATTGAACACTTTTTGAGCAGAAGAAACTCTGTTTGATTTCAAACAGATATCATATTTAAAATCAGTACAAAAAAATCGGAGTCGACCTCTTTCCAGTCAAACTTCGACTCCTGATCCCCATTAGGGATGTATGGGAAAATGTACCTCATTAAAACAGCTATTTAAATATGTAGAAGTCTCTACTTTTGTCTTCAGATAATGTTTGACAAGTCTATGACTGCATTTTCTGTTGCCAAAACGGTCTTATGATAAAGTACATTTTTCCATATATCTCTGAGAAAGACTAAGGGTCAGGACTTGACTAGAAAAGAAAAGTGCAAACTATAACTTCATGAGATCGGAAACACACTATTTGCAACAATATGACTTCATTGGACCAGTTATTTGGCATTTTCCAGTAGAAAAAGATTTGAATATCTAAGAAATTCTTGTAGATTCTGAAAGAGAAAGTAATGCTGCATCGAACGAATCTAAATCGGAATTTAATGAACTTACAGAACACAAACAGATTTTGAAGGCTTCTAGAGTGCTTCTGATCCTTGGTCTGATCTCTCTCGTTATATGAACACTTTTAAAAAGTATGATATTTGTAATCAACATACTTAGTTCTATCGAACTATGAATACTTTTAATTGGAGGCGATCAAAAAATAGTTTTTCGATACTTGAGAGATTCTCAAGTGTAAAAAATAATCAGGGTTCAATGCGGATTCGTAGATTGACATAATCAGGTTCAGATTGTTTAAGATACTTGGTCCGTAATTTGACACATGTTCTTTTTTCGTTATTTTAGGTTTTGATTTCGAAAAGAAAACAAGAGTTGATCCTTGGAACATGCTAATTATTAACATGAAGATCATGTCAACTTACTTCTCCATCCCACCATAAAAATTTGTTTTGTGATGAATATCATTCCATGTAACAACATTATCATAACCTGTTGTTCGAGATTGACCCACAGTAAAAGTTTGACGAAGTTCAAAAGCTTTTTGTAATAGTTTAAATATACGTCGACCTTCAGTATTGTCAGGTAAGTAAGCCACACGAGTCGTTCCGTGATATCGCTTACCTGGATTTGGATGTCTATCCTTGAAAAAAAGAAAAGAATCAACATAATTTTCATGTCAATTTTATGTAATTTAAAAATAAAAACTTACATCCTGAATACCATCAGGAAAGTAATATGTTATTTCAATAGTACCAAATGAATTATTTGTAAAACCTGGTAAACGACGTTTTCGTACATGATGTGTCATAATACCATTTTCTGGTTGATTTCCTACATTTGAAATAGCAATACTAGAGAATATAACAAAATAGAAATATTTATCTACCTCGAATTTCACCATAGATAGTAAAACAACATGGACATTGAGGTTTAATCGTTTGAAAATATTGATCAATACAAGCTGAACAAAATGCATGACCACATTTATTAAGTTGTTTTGGTTCAGTACAATCATCCAAGCAAATAGGACATATATCTACTTCTAAATGAGAAATAAACGTTTATACAAATTTACTTTTCTTTTTCTTATTAACTTGGTTTTTCTTTTGATGACTTGACTTCTATTTTTTGTTTTTCATTATGACCTTGATCATTCGTATTTAGATTTTCTTCATTGGCTGTAGCTGATGCTGAATTAGAGCATTGAAATTCACTATTTTCACTTTGTGGAGACGATCTTTTCGGCAGATTTGGTGATGCTTGACCCTTAGACGACGAACAACTTGTCTGAGTATATATTCAGTTATAAAACTCACAGTGCCTTTTGTCGATGGTTGTCGTTCTGCAGATTTTAGTAATGGATCTTTTGGTGACTTATGATCATTCGGTGATGGTGTATGTGGTTTTTCAGATTCAGCCGCTGTAGAAGCAGATGTTGATGCAGTTTGTTCATGGGTTTTACCTGCCGAAATATTTTTTCGTCTAGACTCAGAGTTAGGAGTTGATGATTTGGAACTTGACATATTTTTACAAATTACTTCTGAAGAAAGAAAGAAAGAAAGACATTACGATTAGTAAAGTATCTGGAAAGATGTTTGTAAAAAACTAAAATAAATAATAAGACTATCAAAAGGCTTGTCATCATTCTAGTTGTTTGATTGAGTTTAACAATTATGTTTTTCACATTTTCTATTTTACAGAATTTTCTTTCTTGACCTTGGCACAATCACGAATACGAAAGGATACTAGAAGAGATTACTATAGATGAGAGTTAGAACACAAATAATGAAGATAGTTTCTTAATAAAAAGAAAATAAAGTCAAATATGTATTTAAAGGATATCTTAAATTCTTGTTCTTATATTAATATTAGATAAATTCACTATGATTCTACTTACAGTGGTGTCTGGAGATCGTTAGGATTGCGACAGGAGATTGATGATTTAGAAGACCGACTCAAAATTTTTTGTTAAAGTTAACTGAATGTTCGAAGGGTGCAGAAGAAAAACGAAAATTTTTCAAGATTGATCAAAGTTACCTCCTGGACATCTTCGTCTACATATTAAATATTCCTTCGAGGAAACCTTATATATCCCAATATATAAGAAAAATACAGTATAGGATTTCATGTATATTCCATTAATTTGTAAGAAGGAACGGTAGAACGATTTCAGTCTAAGATAGGCTCAAATTTTTAGTTGAATCAGGCTGAAAAGTGATTTTCTTTCTTTATTTATGATGACAAGTGCTATAGGCTTTCTTACTAGATCTTGATTCTGTGCAAGTGTAATAACTATCTAATACCTTATTGTTTTGAAAGAAATCCAGAACTAACGAGGTAACAGAGACAGGTCCCTAAAAAAACAAACAAAGAAGAAATAAAACTATTCATGACCAAAATAAATTTTTCCTATTTTGGTTTTTTGAAATAAAATCAGAGCAGACGCTGTTCAAATCAGAAAAATCTAATTTTTCTTTATAAATGTGACGAATAATAACATGATTTAAGCGTTTTTGAATCATTGTACAATGTTAAAATGTGTTTATTTGATTCATAACATTGAAGGATAGTTCAGCGGTAGTTTGTTATTCCAGGAATCTTCAAATATAACGACAACAATTTACTTTATTCAGAAAATATTATTTTGCCAACTTGTTATATATTGAAAAGCTAAAATGTGAACTGACTTTATAACAAAATGTCATTTGACAGAAGAAAATAAAAATTACACAGTAATAGAAAATTTTTATGTTTAATAGAGTCTTCTTAAGTCTTTATCTATTCAGATCTTATAACTCCTTCATGTATGTTTATGAGATCGAAGAAAATGAAAATCTTGAGTCGAAGTCTTAACAAATAAATCAATCTTATGTTAGTTGTTTTTGACAAAGAAGAAAATATAGTTAGTTCTCTTGAATAGAGTTTCTAAAATCTGTCAATTGTATTTTGTTACATGAAAAAAACAATGAATTAAATTTTAATTATTAGATGGAAATAAGTCGGAAGTAAAATCGGAAGAAGATAGAGAACAGTAAATATATTGAAAAACACCGTTAAATGAGATAAATGAAATATTGGTTACATTTTTTTGTATATTGGAATCAAAGAAGACAAGTAAAGACAAATCTGTGTCAATATTAGGAATATACATGATTCTTTAAAACAACAGGTTAATTTTAAAATTGAGTAAAAATAATTAATGATTCGTTGAATTATCCTATTGGTTAACGAAATCAACGAAACAAATTCAATAGTGTTTATTCATCTTTTTACCCAAAAAAAATAGTATCGTATTCATTTATTTTAATTAGATATTAGCATTTAATTGTAACAAGGTGCAAAATTTATCAATTTAAATAATGAACAAATCTGTCCTAATGACAGATTTAATATTCTTTTCTATGACTCATTTACTGTTCTCCTTCTTTTCTGCTTATTTTGCCATAAAAATTGATATCGTTTTGAATGATTCTTCATTTATTCTAGACATGTTTTAAGTCAAAGCAACATCATTTATACAAACGAGCAAATATAAATAATATTAAAGATGATTAATTGAAAATTTTAACTCAGAAAATTATTGATGCATCTTATTCATTATCGAAAACTAAGACAAAGAATTCTTTTTCTATACATATAAGAAATACTGAAGAATTCTAAATAACAAAAATACTTATTTCATTGGTTCAAAAAGATCTTTATAAAATAATTGAATGACGATATCCACTTGAACTTACAAATCGTTCTGAGATCTAACTGATTTTTTGTTTTTTATAGATTGACTAAGGCTTACTGTGATCTAAATAAACGTGTACTTACTGAAAATATGGGTGAGTAAAGAGAATGAAAATTAAAACAAAACAATATTAGGATTACAATTATTTAATGGTTTTAGCTGCATCACATGCTTCATCATTTCTTATATCACTTCTTATTAGTTTATTATTATTTGCATCGATGCAATTATTTCGTACACAACTTTCATCAAGCCAACCATTAACTATTGTTGGTGGTTTTATTGGTTCAATGGTATTTGTGTCACTTTTAACGGTATTGAAAATAGAAAAAATTCAACATGGTAAATTTGATATGAATCTTATTTTTTTTTTCTTTGTTTCATTAAGGCTTTAAGTAATTTCGAAATGAATACTTTTGGACCGAATTATCAAGCAAGAATTTTTCCTGAAGGTTAAAAAAAATTCCTTTTTTTTTGTTTTCTTTTTTGCAAAATGACTTTGATTTTAGTTGTTATTTGCTTATTTATATCAATGATATGCTCTGCATTTGTTCATCGAGTCTGTGTAACAACTTGGTAAGTTATAGGCTAATGATAGTAAGAAGAAATCAGTATCAATTATAAAAAGATTAGTACTTAGTAATTATATAGGATTTTTCATAAACATTCACATTACGTTCTATCAGTAAAAATGTTTTAGTAGTATTGATTTTGATCAAATTACTATGCAAATTTGAGTGAACAACCGTGAGTTATAATTCCATGAAGAAAACATTTTATTTCAAGGACATATTAATCTGCTAGAATTGTAGTCCGTATATGTTATAATCTAATTAAAATTAATCTTACGCAAGCCTAGACAAATAACATAGAAAAACATTCTGATTATATGTTATTACTTTAAATATTGACCTTTGTTGTTTCGAACAGATGTCATCAAACTTTGTTGAATCTCTAATATTGTAGTGTGCATTCTATATGAAGAATACAATATCTACGACTTTTTTTTTTATCATACATAGCACAAGACAACTATATATGTTATTAGAAGGAATGCTATTAATAGCAATATGAGAAATGTTTAGTGCCACAGTACGCTATCTAAGATGACATAATCATCATTACAACATTGATTTATGACTTGTTTCGGTCGATTATCTTGATTATAGTTAAAAAAAAGCTTGTCGGTATAGTCCCACAAGGAGTCAAAGTGTCTAAATTACAAAATTTGACTGTTATAAATTTATGTTATATTGTCAGAGGAATTAAAATAATTTATTTAAAATAGTACCAATATAAATGAATAAATCATAATTATTACAATTTTTTATAGATGATCTATACGTTCTGAAATTTTATCATTTTGAAAGTGTTTGCATCTAGTAATTCCTAATCCATCAATTGATTAGATTGTCATATTGAAAAAACATTTTTTTATATTATCAGATAAATCTTCAATGCATAATTTCTTTTCTCCTAATGATAATACATACGATACATGTCATAGGAAGAAATAAATATCATTTGATTCTTCGTTTTCTCGATCCAATTATTATCATATCTGACTATACACATTGATGTAATCGTTCAGTAAGCTTTCAAGTACATAATATTTTTTCTCGATAAACATTGACGTATACTATTTAATTTTGTATTAATTCATACTTTTCTATGGCCATTTTACTGATTAACATCAATAAAAAGATTCTTTCGCTACATTACATACCAAAGTCTTCTATGTTTAGATTAGTTAGATTCTGCAATAGACATCTTAGATTGTTAGAATGCTTCAGAAGATTCTAAACTGATCTAAACACTGTTATTACTAATACTCTTTTTCTTGATGGTAGAACTTGAAGGAGAGCTGAAAAAACCTCGATTTAAACTGGCAATTACTATTTTCTTCGAAAATATCTAAGTTCCACCAAAACAAGTATCTATGGTTAATTCAAACACCAATCTTAATTAAAGATAATTTTAACGTGAAGCGTGAATAATTTAAAAATAAAGTTAGTTTTTTTTCTTTGATATTTTTACGTGGTTTTACAAAGTCCATCGAGTTCTACAAAATCATATATATGAAAAATAAAAAAAAACCTACTTCAAAGTTTAAAAAAAGCTTGCATGTTTTATATGAAAGAAGAACATTCAATTTTTTCAATAAATTTTACTTTTCTCACGTTTGTGATCTCATAAGCAATTAGAAAATAAGCTCAATTGATGCGACGCGAAAAACTACATCTAATGATATAAGTTATATTATCTAATTAGATGCTGGTGTTCATGCTGCATTGATTGAGCAAAATTTTAAATTGCGTATGTAATGAAAAACGTAGTCGTTTTTTGAAACTTTTATTTTAATAAAAAAAAACTGTTTGAAAACATTTTTCACATACATAGTTTTGTAGAGTTCGACAAGCAGTATTAAAGCATGTAAAAATATTAAAGAAAAAAAAATACTTTAATTTTAAATAACTTGCACCTTATATTGATCATAGCATTCATATTTGAAAAATTGATCTATCTACTGTATTTCAACTGCACTCAATGAGAAAAAAAGTTTTCTCTTGTTTCTTACTCAGTAAACATGAAGTTTTCATTATCTTAAACTTAAAGCAATATTGAGTTCTTTGAGTATGAAATAAAAAACACTTAACTGAAACAATAGATGATTTAATCTATTTGCAGAGTCGATATACTTTTAACATGCTGAACGCTTGATAATCCATAATGATTCTCATGAGAAGACAGTAAACAATATGAGTAAAATTACACAGTAGTATTTCT